ACTGTGCCTAAGGCTTTTAGACCTATCAGCCTTACATCGTCTCTCCTGAAGACCATGGAGAAATTAATGGATAGACGAATAAAGGATAGGGTCCTTGTAAGCTGTCCTTTGCACCCGAACCTATATGCCTATAAGAAATTAAATTCATGTGAAACCGGCCTGCATGCACTGGTTTGTAAGATTGAAAATGCTATCTCGAACAAGGAAATAGCGGGGACATGCTCGAAAGTAAGAGAGCGCAAGCTTCTCTGTGTGGGACGGTGAGAAAGGTCAAGTGCAAAGAGGGTGTCCTCAGAGTGGCAGGATTTGAAGGTGAATCCAATGAAGACTGTAATGGTACCATTTCCAAGGAAGAGAAACGTTTATCGCTAAGTGCCAACTCTCTTTGGTAATAAGATCCAGGTTAAGAGGGAAGAGGGAGTACCTACAAATAAGGCTGGACGACAAGCTCACCTGTAACAGCCATTTGGCACATGTAACGCAACGCTCTCAGACCAACCTTACGATGATGAGACGGGGAGACATAGGGTTCGAGCCCAAAAATGTTTAAATGGCTATACACTAGGGTTGCAAGCCGATGATGGTCTATGGCTCGGTAGTCTGGTGGACCAAAGTAATGGATACTACCGCTGTAAAGAGACTATAAAAGATCCAGTGAGTGGCATGCCTTAGCGTCACAGGAACCACGAGAGGCACTCCAACTGCAGCCCTGGAAGTAGTGCTAAACCTCCCACCTCTCGATATCATTGTGAAAGGGGAATCAAGGATTTCAGCCTACAGAATGGTTTGCAGTGGTGACTGGAAGTATAATGTTTCCAGTTAGCATACAAGGATTGTGGACATTGTGCAGATGGACACATTTGAAATGTTACCAAACAGGATGGTGAACATCACAGATCTAGAAAAGCCATACAATGTCGACATTGTTGACAGGGCTGCCTGGGATAAGATGAACCTGAATACATGAAAAGGGGGATCACTAGGTATACGGATGGATCGAAAAAGCCAACGGGTACTGTGGCAGGAATATATGGAGTCAGACCCAAGGCGCAGTTTGCGTAAGCCTGGGGAAACTGGCCACTGTATTCCAGGCAGAAGATGCTGCCCTGTCCGAGAGTGCAAGAGTGTTTTTGGAGCGTGGTCTGCAGCCCACGCCATATCCATGAGCTCGGACAGCAAAGCAGTGCTAATGGCACTTGACAGTTTTCAATTTACCTCTAAGTCAATATGGAACTGTCATCATTCCATGAAATCCCTGGGAAAGATCAACAAGGTTATACTTACATAAATAAATGTATTGTATATCCACATTGTAATAGTTATTGTACATAAGCAGATTTAGAACTCTTTTCCGCACACGGGCTTAACCTATGCGGAGAAATTTCCTTATTAATGTGTATCTGTTTATTGTATTGTTCAATTTCTGGAAATGAACTAATTGACTATTTGATTTGACTATCATTAGTTGGGTTTCAGGGCACAAAGGTATTGCTGGCAATAAGGGAGCTGACAAGTGGGCAAACACAGGAGTCCGCTCATGGGTCCAGAGCCAAAACAAGCACGGAGAGCTGCTCGCCATTGGGTGAGCATAGAACATCGAAGGAGCTGGGAAAGAACAGAAGGCAACATACAGTCAAAGAGAATGCTGCAGACACCTACCGGTACGATAGCGGTGAATGCCCTTGGGCTGAATAAGAAGACTCTCATTAGTTGGGTTTCAGGGCACAAAGGTATTGCTGGCAATAAGGGAGCTGACAAGTGGGCAAACACAGGAGTCCGCTCATGGGTCCAGAGCCAAAACAAGCACGGAGAGCTGCTCGCCATTGGGTGAGCATAGAACATCGAAGGAGCTGGGAAAGAACAGAAGGCAACATACAGTCAAAGAGAATGCTGCAGACACCTACCGGTACGATAGCGGTGAATGCCCTTGGGCTGAATAAGAAGACTCTCATTAGTTGGGTTTCAGGGCACAAAGGTATTGCTGGCAATAAGGGAGCTGACAAGTGGGCAAACACAGGAGTCCGCTCATGGGTCCAGAGCCAAAACAAGCACGGAGAGCTGCTCGCCATTGGGTGAGCATAGAACATCGAAGGAGCTGGGAAAGAACAGAAGGCAACATACAGTCAAAGAGAATGCTGCAGACACCTACCGGTACGATAGCGGTGAATGCCCTTGGGCTGAATAAGAAGACCCTGCGGAGGTAGTTGGCTTCATCAGCAGCCACTGGGTATTCCGCGGACATCTACACAAGATGGGAATTCAAGTTGAAAGCCTCTTATGTAGGAAATGTGGTGAGGGGGAGGAGACTGCCTTCCACGTGATATTTATGTGACCAGCCCTACAAGGTCTACGTATGAGAGCTGGGAAAGAACAGAAGGCAACATACAGTCAAAGAGAATGCTGCAGACACCTACCGGTACGATAGCGGTGAATGCCCTTGGGCTGAATAAGAAGACCCTGCGGAGGTAGTTGGCTTCATCAGCAGCCACTGGGTATTCCGCGGACATCTACACAAGATGGGAATTCAAGTTGAAAGCCTCTTATGTAGGAAATGTGGTGAGGGGGAGGAGACTGCCTTCCACGTGATATTTATGTGACCAGCCCTACAAGGTCTACGTATGAGATCCCTTGGCCTATCGACTGGAGATCAAAGGGAAGAACAGGTTACCATAGTCAAAGGATCTTATGATTCACTAAGGACCTGGGACAATAGGCTGTTCCAGCTGCGATGCAAAACCATGGTCACTTTTAAGCCTGGCCCTCTGTAAAAAAACCCCTGTTGGATACCAGCCTGGGATTTTTTGTCACATTACTTTAGGTCAGGTAAACATGTAACTTAAGCCCTCAGAGCTTGCACCGTTTCTGGAATTCAATTCTTTTAAGACCTAGACGGCATCTCGGTCAATGTTGAGCTTCATGGCATGAAAGTTTCCCTGGACGAACTGGTGACGCACACGTACAACTGTCCTACATTGTGTTGAGCCTTCAGAAGGGGCCTTTCTCAACAAGGGCATCGAAATACATCGTGTTCTGCGTCATAAGGAGTGCCCGGGTAAGTATATGTAATCGGGTGACATGGCTTTGCCCATCTTGAACAGGTTCGACCGGAAAAGATGGAACCCGCCAGAACCTGTGTGAGGTAATAATCCACATCCCCGTACCGCCAATCAATTCAAGGCTGGTCTTGCTGAATTAGTTGAATGATCCAGCGTTCCCGTCTCCTGTTCCCAGATCCCCTGCCAGAGTCGGTAGTGCAGATGAGCTCCTTTATACTTGCCTAGTTCTCCCTACGCCGCTTATATATTTCCTTCCTCTCCACCGCCAAATGTTTGACTGGCATAACCAGAACGGTGGGGACGGACGCTGTTTTGGTAAACGAATTCCACCCTGAGTGCTGCCTGATACTACGACCGGGCCACCATATCATGTATACCTCCTTATTGAGCGTGTCTGCCTACACTCCCGTACCGTAGATATTTCAGATATTTGAAAATGCAGGAATTTGTGGGTGCAAAATATTTCCATAGGCACAAATGAAACTAGGTTAATTTGTCAAAGTTGAAGATGGCATTGTCTGTGGTGCATGCCATAGTTTAATCAACTACATAATCATGCCAAGGCAGTACAAGTGTGCCGTGTGGACGTGCTCAACGGTCACCGGCAGGTTTTAGTTGTTGCGCGGTTGGTACTCACTGGCTGCGTCTGCCAGACATTTCGTCTGGTAACTTCTGTGTTACCCGTTTCTCAATGTTTTCTGGGTTTGAGAGTTTTCCTTTTGAGAACCCTGCCGATTTTCCTTAGAGGTCCTTTCATTTCTGTTCAATATGACGATCTTAGGCTAGAAGATTTTCATCCACGGGGTCGGTGACTCCATCTGAAGCCTACCACCATTAAAATGCTAACACCTTTCACTATGATCATTCTCCTGAACTGATGGGACTGCGCCGTACCACTGCCTGTTCACCACCCACTGGTGGCGATGCCTACACAGCTAGGCCTACGTCCACTCCGGCCTAATACCGTGCTGCCGTTTCTGGGGAGCGGCCACCATGCACTCGGCCCAACTTCTACTTCCTGCTACCTGGACTTCAGCAAGATTATCAATGAATAAATTTATATTTGTGTCCAGCCAGCTCTGTGTTGTTATTGTTGGTCCTCCACCTCAGCAATATTGTGCCGGAATCCCACCATTGATTTTGCGCTTCCAAGGGCCTCACCTTTTAATCAATGGAGTTGGGACTTCGGATACACAAGCATTTGTGTAAAGTCTCACCGAAGTAGGAGAGAGAGGTGGGATGGTACAAATCTTAAAACCTTATTTGTAAAATATCCTGCAACCTTCAATCAGTATCGATATAATTCAGCCATTGGTATCTTCTGATTTAATGTTCCTTTTAAGATTATTCCATTAGGGATGGATTTTAGGAGATCCTGAAAGGGTTTATGTCCTTTTATTAAAAAAACGTTTTCCATATTCTAAAATAATAGATAATTAAGAGGGTTACACAGAAGTATATTTTAACACAAATATTGTGATCACGGGTGTACAATAGAGTGGTGTGTCTCGTTTAGTTATGTGTCTTCATCTTGGAGAGATTATTAAGATCCCCATAACAGGGAACCAATTTCAGAAAATCTGAATGTTTCTTACTTTTCCCAGGATGGATCCGTTCACGTTCGATTGGCAGGTGAGAGCTATAAAATAACACCTATCTGATAGCTGTTAGCATTAATGGTGTATCCCTTAAACAAATTAATACATTAATGACCATCACTTAAGTTTACTTATTTACTACCAAAACCATCCCTACAAGCAAATTAATCCGCACTGTCGAGTGTATTGTAATTGAATTCGATTAAGTCTTAGAAAGTTTAAATGGAACATGACAAGGTAGGTCTCTGCTCCATGGAGAAGGCACCGAACCAAGTAAGAGTTGAGACAATAAATTTTAAAAAGTAAATACTACTGCGGTGTCGTGCACAGATCTGTTTACTGATTCGATAGGAACTGTTCAAACAATTTGACTCAATGTGAGCCCCGGGACTGTGAGCTACGGGCCGACAGATTTTATGTTTTTGGATTTTCTTTTATCTGATTAAAGGTAAGTGACTTTGTAAAAAATTACAACTGCTATTTAAGACCAGTATATATGCTTCAATCAATACCAATGGAAGTGGATAGTATTGTTTACTTGATGTATGTTAACACCCAAATAGTTATTTATTTTTTTAAATATTAATGCGGTTTCTTGTAGATTTGTCAACATTTTTACTTGCAAATAATAGATATATGAAACTAATGAATTGGACTGTCTCGCTGTAAACATTATTGTTATGATTTCGCTAATCATTATTCACGCCTGGTATGGGTTACGGCCTGAGTTGATCATAATAAAAATGGGCCCTTTTTTATTTCAAAAGTAGAAAGTTTTATTATAAACAATAACAATGCGTAATTTAATTTACAAATAAATTATAAATGGGCAATTTTAGCGATTGGCAAGTTGATTAGAATGTGACAAAATTGTCTTAATGTTGAAATTTTACTTATTTAAAAGACTACATGGCTGAAAGTTCCATTAGGCTTTTTGAGAGTGTTAAAGTGGGTTTGGAGGTACTTTTAGTTCTTTGAGGATACCTTCTAAGCATGTGAGGCCCAAAGAGAGATTTTTTTAAATGGTTAAATCAGCATGTCTAGCAATGAGTAATAATAATAATAGTTCGTAGTTTATGCATTCTTATTATATAATTAAATAATATTGAAGGATATTTTAAAGGAATCCCAATTGCCATCTCATTCACTTTTAAAAGCTATTCATGCTTTAAAGGGGTTCTCTTCTTTCAGGTAAAATTTAATACAGCGTCCCGATTTAACACCTGCATTCCTGAATCCTCAGTATAGTTATAAGGATGTGCTAGGTTTTTTTATTAGTAGTTACTTTGAATATTAACTATTAATGATAATGATTATGGTATTTTAAACCAATTATTTTTTGCGTTGATGCCAACTCTTGTTTATTTAGTTACGGACTATTAACTAAATTTTATCCGACCTTTTTAATATCCAACCATAAAACATTAATTAGTGGGTGTTATCTGTTTCCAATCACAATTAATATTGTAATTAATTGAAAGTTGTATTCTAAGCTTCAACAAGAATTGTGTAATAATATAATAAAAAGCCTTGACGCATTGTGATTATCTTTTGTCATTGATTTTTCCAATAGGCAACTTTGATCATCATTAGAATGAATGATAAATTTTGACTTTCATTTATTTAATTTTCGTCGTATTTACACTTGGGCGCAATATCCGTTGATATATTGATTGGCCCGTAGTTTTTTCAATATATGCAGATGAGAATATTGTATAATAATAAACACACAGGCCTGATTTTATAAATAAATTAGTAAAACGAATGTTTTTTTTTGTAATGACTATCAAACTGTTTGGATTATATTGTCAGTAGCTGCAACAATTAGGGGTTTGATCTTTGAAATGACTGATAATTTTGGATTCTAATTTTTACATTATTTACATCAAAAATATTATATATTATTTATTTATGTGGTCTAGGTAACTAAGAGCTTTAAAATACGACTAATCTTCTTTCAATGCGATAAACTATTGATTGAATATAGGTTCTCAAGAACTTCATTTACAAAACTATTATAAACCAAATTTTTGTAATTCTTAAGTTTCAAAATCAAAATCTAGAGGAGAATTTTTATGAAGCATTTTATTTTAGGTATACTAGGCCACTTATATTTAAAAAACTAATTTAATACGAATAGGAAGTTGCTTATTTTAATTAAAGGGCTCAGAAGTGATGGGTTTATTTTTAAAAGGTTGATGGGATATTTTTAAAATCATTACTAAAATAATTGACATCCATTTTTTTATGCAGTAGGACTTTTCATAGAGGTTATTGTGTCAGTACTGGGGGGTCGCCCGCGCAAGACTATGGGTATATAACCATAGGGTAATCTATGCGGGCGGACAGACATGTATTAGTATTTATTATGCTTGATCTTAAAACAATTTTTAAGCTTCTTTAATATACAAGCATAAATAATCTTTAACTGACGATCCACTGCAGTGAAACAACTCCAGTATACCCTGCAACATAATGTATAGAAGATGTAACAAATAAACAAATTTTAATTATGTTAATGCAGTGTGTGTTCAACACATCTTTGCAATAAAACACACGCCTCCTCTTATACTATAGAATATGCATAGCGTAACATTGATAGTGAACATGTAAGTTACCTTTAGGTTTGAAAATTACTAGCACAGTATTACTAATCTATTATATCTTATATTTTATTAGCCTACTATATTAATAATATGTCTATGGCAATTAATTACTCTTCATTTAGAAATAAACCTCAGAGTATAACATACAGCTCATAAGCCTTTCCATAAATGCATCTAGGCACGGCCACCTTTAACTTCAGGCCGGGACCTTCGAAGTGGCAACATCGCAAGTAGGGTTGTAACAGCTGTTTTGTTTGGAGGCAGCCAATGGTAATTGTGTATGTTTTAAGAATACGAAAGCTTGGTTACTGGTCTATGAAAATATTAACTTTGCTTTAAATGTGAAAAAATAGATTATCAATAAAAATTTATCAATCTAAATCTCCTATGTATTGGCGTCAGCCGTTGGTCAATAAATAAATAAATAAAATATTGTTTTGGTTTTCAATTCTATATGTTTGATTTTCAATCTTTTAATAAATTTATGTTCATAAATTTAAATTTAAAGAATGAAACGCGAATTAATGAGCTGGTGTGACCTGTCTGCCATGTTATCTTATGGGACGTCTGGCACTAGACTACACTACTTGCAACGTTGCCAATTCTACCAGGCCGCGGCGTGGAGTTAAAGGTGGCCGTGATCTAGGACTTCTAGATAACTGTTTACCTGTTTATAAGTGCATCCGTAATATAAGTACTATCTACAATAAGTACTATATATATGAAGTATTCATATTGTTAAATAACTCTACATTTATGCTTGAACATTAACAATAAACACGAAATGGTGTGTCACAGTCATGTAAACCTAACCTCAACATAACCGAACCTCAACGTAACCTAAACATAACCTCTCCTAGAAGTTATAAATAGTGATTTTTCCTAATAAAAAACTGTCGTAAGTAAAGTGTTTACAAAACTCGCGTAATTAGTCTTTACGACACTCGGAGAAGTTTTAAAGGCACCCACAAAGGGTATTATATCTTAAATTATTTTCTACTCGAGTCGTAAAGACTATCCTTACGCGATCGTTGCGTTAACTACTATAATATTATAATATAATACTACTACTATAACATGTAAAACTGGAAACTATTTGTGTAATACACATAATTAATCTCTTATTACACTGTTCACAATTACGGTTTATTTTCAAGTATAAACACTAAGTAATCACTCCTTCGCATATGCAAAATATGAGTTTATTGAATAAAAGTAATAATCATTGACACCTTGCATTTGACCAGAACTTATTCCACTTAATTACTCAATATTTTGGTGCTTGTTTTCCCCAAATACAGAACTTACAAAAAGCCATGCTGTTACGGGTGTTTTAGGAAAAATTACTCCTACGGAAAATGAAATATACCATTGTTAATTTATAAGCCAATTTTGTAATTTCAACCAGAATGATTGTTTATATTGAATATTAACTAACTATAGACGTTAATTATACTACTATATTCTGTCATCTGATCACAGGCCTATTTAAAACAATGATTATAGGTACAGGTGCATTAAACGCATATATTACATCAACAGTAAAAGAATTTTTAGAAAATTAGATCACGGTCGAATGAAACTAATGCATAAAGACCACTCTGCAACGTGTATACAGGGTGAGTTTTAATTATCCCCCCCCCCAACTTTTTTCTACATTTTTTCAAATATCAATCCCAGACCACTTACAAACATTGTTGGGTAGTAGGTACTTCATTTTGACAAGGTGGTCATTTCCGGCCGCCATCTTGGATCCGCCATATTGGATGCAAAATATTTTTTTCAAATGTAAAGGTGGGGTTGTGACCCATTATTTCGAACTAGATTTTTACCTTGATTACAATGCCGCAAACCGTTTTTAAAAATCTTGATTCATTCTAAAGTGATGAGGCCTTTTTAAAACTTTATTTTTAGCCCATTTTAACATTGTGCTTGTACAAACTAAGACCATTTTGAAATGGGATAAATTATTTTAAATATAAAAGGGGTGTTGTGACCCACCATTTCAGATTACTTTTTTAAGCAGAACTCAATTCCATGGTCCATTTTTCATTTTCATATTTTGATTTTGAAATATTAACGTTTTTAACAAAAATATTGCAATGTTTCATAAATTAAACTGGATAACAAAAAATGGATTGCGGCATTGAGTTTAGCTTAAAAAAGTAGCTCAAAATGATGGGTCACAACACACCCTTCATATTTAAAATAATGTATCCCATTTCAAAATGGCGGATCCAAGATGGCGGCCGAAAAAAATACATCAGTCATAACCAAGTGCAAATAGGTTGGCAATGACTGGTAGTGTATACTTATCTTTATCTAGCACTATTTTGAGATTATGGTCTTAGTTTGTATAAGCACAATGTTAAAATGGGCTAAAAATAAAGTTTAAAAAAGGCCTCATAACTTTAGAAGGAATCAAGATTTTTTTAAACTGTTTGCGGCATTGTAATCAGGGTAAAAATCTAGTTCGAAATAATGGGTCACAACCCCACCTTTACATTTGAAAAAAATATTTTGCATCCAATATGGCGGATCCAAGATGGCGGCCGGAAATGACCACCTTGTCAAAATGAAGTACTTACTACCCAACAATGTTTGGAAGTGGTCTGGGATTGATATTTGAAAAAATGTAGAAAAAAGTTGGGGGGGGGGGGGACAATTAAAACTCACCCTGTATAAGGCACCAAATTATAGCTCAGAGTGCCAGAGTCCTACAATATCGATTTTAAAAATCGAAAGTCAACTTGCATTTTACTTGTGAGATATATATTATGTTTACATTATCCATTGGGATCATCTTGAATCACAGATTGAACACTTTTATTTTACAGTATTATATTTTCCGGTCACAACATACTACCAGTGACAATCTCTAAATTCTTCCTTTGAATGTAAATCAAGACAGACATGTAGTACTTTAACATTCCACCCGAATTGGGGTCATCGTTACTTTTCCCCGTGTGGTACAGTCTTGTGTTGTACGGTTAATAAAGATTGTATATTTTTTATCATAAAGAGGAAGCGATGGACCGTAAAGATCATCACAGAAATTTTCAAAATGTTCATTCGGAATTGTTAAACAACGTCAAGCAAATTTTTTACAAAATTCAATTTACCATGGGAGTTAGAACAAGACTGTTGTGATACAAATTTTAATCTGGGCACCATTGTAGATTATTGACACGTAGCTAAGCGATTGTTCAATTTTATTACATCGCTCTACGAGTATTAAATCGACTACCCTAGTCTAACTCCAAAACTCCCCGTTCTTTAGTATACACTACTAAAAACATTCTGGAACCATTAGATGTGAAGTTTTTAATATTGTTAATAAAATGTGCTTTTTTATTTCACATAATTACGTTACCTACTTCTCTATGTGCTGGTAAATTTGATGCCCAATTATTTGACGAATCTTTAGCTATTGCTATGTAATGTAATTTCTTAGAACTACTTTAATTATTGATAGTTATCAATTATTTTATATTCAATTTTTTATTCACATTTATTTGAATTTTTTTACATTTTAATCTATATAATAATTTAGATAGATACAGGAACAAAATGTTGAATCTCCAAACTGAAATGAAAAGAGTTCAGTCTAGAGACCATATGAATTATAAACTTCATAGTTACTATGTTAGCTTATTTCTCAAATATATAACTAAAAAGGTAATACAGTAATAGCTTAAGCAGCTTAATATATAAAATAGCTTAATATAGGAAAAGCACATTGTTTCTCAATACAAGTTTACATTTGACACACTTTGACTTTAAATTTTACATCGTATTTAAAATATGCAAAATATAGAAATACTATGTAAAATAACAATGTAGTTAGTCGTATAAGCGGTTTAATACTATAGACCTTGACTAATAAGACAGTTACATAATAATGATGAGCATAATAAAGATTTAGATAACATACAAGGTAAAAGGAATAACTTCAATAAAATTTTAAATATCACCTAGTTAGTTAAGCATCGAAGCAGAAAAAGTGAAAACAATAGTTATTCCATAGATATAAATGTGTCATGCAACGATCTATGGTAACCGTGTAATAAACAGTAATTGTTATGGTCTGGTCTAAATGAGCGAAAAATATGCAACCCCTTATATCTATGCAAAGTTAATAAACCGTCAAATTTTCCTAGCGTGTAGGACACAATTATAAAGCAATAAAAAAGTTCAGGTAATAAATTAGGTTCATACTATTTAGTAGAGGTTTTCATACTTAAGAGCTACCAATGTTACAGTTTGACCAAAATACAAACTAGAACGAATGAAGGCCTGATAACGGTATGTTGGATAGTATAGGTCCATTTGAATGGGTTATCTTACCCCTCAAACTGGGCTGAGAGATATTGAACAGGGTGTGTATTTAAACAACAGGAGTTGCAAACAAATTCCAAACCTGCTGGGCAATATTTTTTAAATTTTTTTGTGCTGGTATAAATTGGTAAACTACACTACAAAGGCCTTTTCACTACTCATTATACTGTAATCACAATCAATTTTCCTTTTACACTGTAAAATTACGAGTAATTTATCTTATGTGCTGTTTTAATATCATGTTCAGCTGTTCACTGTTTATTTATATTGCTAACAAATTTCAATCACATTCGGTTGTTCATCCAAACTAGATTTATCTCTTCTCTTTCTTTTTATAATATCCTTTATTAACGTTTTCAACTATTAAAGTTACCAACAACTTGCGTTCTGCCAATATTCTTTAATATGACGTCTTCCTCCAAGAAGTGATAGAGGACAAACAGAGTATTATTCTGAAACTGAATAACATCTGTGTTGACAGGGCTACTTTCTATTAATTTACAACAAAGGCTGTTAGATCGTTTACAAATACACATTCTCTAAGGTCTGATGGCCTCACTATTTGGTATTCTAGTGTTTGATAGATTGATTGTGCGTACATAATCAAAGATTGGAAAGATTTTATCTTAATTGTATGGCGAGAATTGATCAAACAAGCCAGTGAATTCAGGAGGAAACTCCAATCTCAAATCAACCCTGCAACGACAGAAGGTTTTTGCAGGAAACCCCGTCATCTCTAGTCTGGACTTCTTCTTCTCTGATATTCACCGCATATGAGAGCATTATGTCCTCCCGAAATAGATCTAAGTCAAACAAATAAAGGTATTTTGAATGTCATCCGTTATCCATGAATCAAAGGAATCTACCCTAAGTCCCCTGCACCAAGGTTGTAAATAAGTAAGTTATGTCCTTTGGCGACCTTTTAAAAAAATATTTATCAGAATTGTCTGTCAAATTACAAACAAGCTAGTCTTTGCATATGATTCACATTTGACGTAAAGAGAGGAGTGGGAGATTTGTTCACTTTAAAGGTATATTATTTTTCATAGTTGAAATAAAATTTTGAGCTTGTATAGGTATATAAAAAAATCAGATAAAAAATGCTTGAGGATTGTTTATATAAACCAGCACACTTATGACATACAAACCTCATCATTGCATACAGGGTTCTAACACTTTCTTCCATACATTTATAGAGAACCAGGAGAGCCTGACACTTGTCAAACTATTTAAATATGCTGGTAAAATAAGGTCAATGTCGGCCAAGGGAAATAAATGCATTTTCCTAGTAATTTATTCAAAGTTGTCAATTCAACATATTCAACATGGAAGCTATTCAACCACAAGCTATACTGTAGAATAATACATTAAAAAGTGCATTACTCAATTTTCAAGTATATTCAAAGAAATGTTTCTGTCATATTTCTGTCATATGGGTCATGATCTGAAACCCTACATTCTGAACAATCCACAATTATATTTTTGTTTCTTACCCTGAACAGTAAACAGTGCCTTCCTTCACATATACCATAAATCAGTAGTCTTTTATTTTACAAATCAAATCAATAACATATAACAGAGGTTAAATTATAATTAACCTATAATTTAGATTAATTATTCAACAAAGGAGAGCGGAGATTTTATATTATGTGCTAGGTAAGACGTAGAGCAGATACAGATAATAGCTGTAAAAAATAAAACTTAATTTGTATTATTCATTGTGACCCTTGGTTGGAATATATTATTGAAAAAATAAAAGTTAATTAAAAAGTTAAGTTATTAAAAACCACAGTTGATGGTATGACAACTAGTTTCGTTCTTTAGAACTTCGCAGGTCATTGTATGCAACCACATCATCAAAACATCAATTAATACATTGTAGTATGTCAAACGTTTTTTTTTTATCTGACAGTGATAAGACAGTGCTGGACAGCCTTTACAGTTTCAACCAGTTTTATCACTTTTTATTCTATTTTAATTATTTAATCAACTTAACAAGTTTCGATTGTTGTGATTTTGACAGTATTTTAAAGAATCTTTTGACATACCACAATGTATAAATACATTGAAGGAACGGAACTAGTTGTCATACCAACAACTGTGGATGGATTAGGTAATCCTTTTAATTTATCAAAAGTTAATTGGCCAAAAATGTAAAATATGTGATAAATTTGGGAATGTTTTGCCTAGATCTGCATCCTGATGATTATCAGGTGCTTCCTCCTTGTTGCTCTCTTCAGCTCCACGGCGTATACGGAGCCATCACCTGAACCCTCGCCTGAACCATCTCCGGAGCCCGCCCCCCAGGGTGATGGGGCGGTGCCCGAATTGCTGGAGGGTGTAGGAGACCTGGTGTCAAACCTACTCGAGGATCTCCTCGGTGGAGGTGGTGGTGGGGGAGGGGGAGGAGGGATGCAAGAAAAGATCGACACTATTGACACTAGCTTGGAGTTTGTGAGTATTTTCTTCCCCAAACTTTTTAAAGTCCATATTCATTCAAATACAATCAAAACATTACATACAATCAAAATAATTATTTTTAAGATGGCGATGTTTAATCATATAATTTGTATTCGGGTGATTTAGGAGTATAATATTTTACAGTTTATAGCACTCAGTGATGATTGTTTATAAAATAACAACTAAAACAATACTGTATAAGAAATATTTTTGGTACACTTTAAACTCACAGAATAAAATACCGGTAAGCATTGAAATTGGCATGTAGTGGTTTCTTACTTAATTTTAAAAGAAAATTATTAGACCCTGTGTTGTTTCAATAACTTTTAAATGCTAATGTATTATTCGTGTTTTTAACAATTTTTTTGTGAGAATGCGAATTTGAAAATTGCAAAACAAAAATGCAAGGATTCCGAGATTGGATGTCAGCTACAAACCAGTTAAAAATGTACTATTTTAAATATTTTGAATCACAAAAAATTACGGTATTAGTATCGATTATTTACTATATATAAAAGTTGAAAAAGGCACACCGGGTGATAATATTGTAGGTTAAATAGTTAGTACAGGTAAAATTATACTAAAAAACCAGTAGAAAACATAAAAATTAGTCCATTCATGAAACTTTCAGGAAACGTAGTAATTACCATTAGGTATTGGAATCTAAAGAGTCCCTAGTGATTGTGGGGGTGGAAGTACCATTTTATGGGGTTTTAAGCTTATGGGGGTAGTGATTTTGAGAAAATTTTTATTTATGGGATCCAAGCAAGTGGGGCGTCGTTTTCTATGTTTCTTAGGAAGCAGAATCGAAAAAGAACATAATAAAAGCAATAAAACCAACAGTTTATCAGAAAAAGACTAATTTATTAATGAAAAACTAAATATGACAAATTAATTAGGGTAAAATAATCCAGTAAATTAATATCAATCACCCATTACAAAATTGATCATTAGTCTGTGTCACATGTTAAAGTAGTATGGAAAATTAACCAATAAACTGGTAGTTACAACAAACCTCCTGGTAGTGGTGGCCTCTTTAACCACCACGTGTCATATTGTTCATCAGCTACTGATGCATCATCACCTTCCATGGAATCGTCAGGGTCTCTACTCGTTCTTCTTGACAGCTTAGTAGTGGGGATGGGTAGCAGAAACATATTTAAGTTCTGGCGATGATCCTGCAACTTAGGGTGGCGATAATATATAAGACCAAGTATGTAAAACTGCCCAGACCCCAATTTTTAAGGACCTTGGTCACCCGTAATGACGTCATCAATATGGCTCTCGTAAGAGGATGCTGGGTCGCTATGAAGTGGTTATTATACCAAAATGCCTGAACCGATTTTAATGAAATTTGGCATACAAGTGCTTGAATACTATATCTAATCCCAGTTTCTCAATGGTCGAGTTTGATTAGGTCATTTCAAAATGGCGGCTGTTAATAATTAAAATAATTAAAAATTGTTAAATGTTTTGTTTTTTAAACTCTCTCCAGAAATCTGCAGCGATCTTTACTTTTCCTTGCAATCACAGGTTTTAATGCCATCTCTGTATTTCATGGAATAGGCAAAATACCCCCACTGCAGCAAACCTGCAGATTAAGTGAGTTTCCATTTGCCTGATTTGATTTTCAATTAAATCCATTTCAATTACATTAAGTTTAGTGTTAACTAGGTTTGCTGCTACGGGTAGGATAATAAAGTGTGTTTTTATAATTAAAACATTAATAGCTTAGGTAAAAATAAATAAATTTGCCAAGTTTTATAAAAATATATCCATAAACGAGTAAACTACAACAGTTTACTTATTCTCCATAAGAATAAAATGTGAATGATAAATTTACAATTTTTGAATTTTCTCGGTAGGTAACCAATATCCGTACAAAAACACTTCAATAAACAAAATTATTTGGTTTTTAAGGTATTCTAGTTCATCATGGTATCCAAATTGGTTTAGAGAGAAATTGGAAAATGTTATAGAGGGTTAAACATGACAAAACCCAATTTTGACCCCATAAATCCCCCCAAAACCCCGTTCCCATGGTCTGATCATGCTTGATTGCGAACTTATTAGAATCAATCCAAATATTTGTTGTACTTTTCTATATGACATAACATCAAACTTTAACAGCGTTAATGACTGTATATGTGTACTTATTAAAGAACGTTAGCACAACTCAAGTAATAACTTCAGCAAAAATTACCCAATGTTGACGAAATTTGGTAAAAACGTGTAAACCTACGTTTACTCGAACGAGTTCGCGAACCAGCATGATCGGACCATGAGAACGGGGTGTTCTGGGGGATTTATGGGGTAAAAATTGGGTTTTCTCATGTTTGCCCCTCTAAACGTAAAACTTTCGAATTTCTCTCTAAACTATTTTTAATACCCTGATTAGTTATTTTGCTAGTTTATGGTTATATTTTTATAAAACTTGGCGAATTTATTTAACCTATTCATATTTTAATTAAAAAACAAACTGTATTACCCTCCCGGTAGCAGCAAACCTAGTTAACACTAAACTTAATGTTATTGAAATGGATTTAATTGAAAATCAAATCAGGCAAATGGAAACTCACTTAATCTGCAGGTTTGCTGCAGTGGGGGTATTTTGCCTAATCCGTGAAATGCAGAGGCGTGATTGCAATGAAAATGAAAGATTGCTGCAGATTTCTGGAGAGAATTGAAAAACAAAACATTAAACAATTTTTAATTATTTTAATTATTAACGGCTGCCTTTTTAAAATTACCTAGTCAAACTCGACCATTAAAAAACTGGGATTAGATATCGTATTTAAGCCCTGGTATGCCGAATTTCATTAAAATCGGTTCAGGCATTTTGGTATAATAACCACTTCATAGCGACCCAGCATCCTCTTACGTGCGCCATATTGATGACGTCATTACGGGTGACCAAGGTCCTTAAAAATTGGGGTCTGGGCGGTTTTACATACTTGGTCTTCTATATTATCGCCACCCTAAGTTGCAGGATCATCGCCAGAACTTAAATATGTTTCTGCTACCCATCCCCACTACTAAGCTGTCAAGAAGAACGAGTAGAGACACTGACGATTCCATGGAAGGTGATGATGCATCAGTAGCTGATGAACAATATGACACGTGGTGGTTAAAGAGGCGTAACTACCAGTTTATTGGTTAATTTTCCTCACAACTTTAACATGTGACACAGACTCATGATCAATTTTGTATTTATATTAAATAACTGGATTATTTTACCTTAATTAATTTGTCATATTTAGTTTTTCCTTAATAAATTAGTCTTTTTAGCGAATTTCCCTATAGGGAAGTAGCTATTACCGTAGGTGGCACGGTAAGACCTAGACCCGGGACCGATTTACTTTTTCATTTTGATGTCCCCAGAGGCCAAAAACACCATTCGTTCAAATTTTTATATATGACATATATTATGGGGTAAAAATTGGTTTTTCTCACTTTTGAAAGGAACATGTCGGCCTTAGTCACTAACAAGACTACAAGATCGCGCCACTCATCCTACACTCATCCTTCACTCATATTTGGGTTAAAATACGCACATAGTGGCGTCCCCATCTTAAATAATTGATAATTGATTGATATGTATATATATATACGTCCGTGAACGCGATAACTTGAGTAATTTTTGTCCGATTTTGATGAAATTTGGTTTAAAGGTGTAAAGTGAGATAAACTTGAATGAGTTCGCGAACCAGCACGATCGGACCATGGGAACGGGCATTTACGGGGGGTTTTTTATGGGGTAAAAATTGGTTTTTCTCACTTTTGACCCTCAAAACACAAAATTTCCCGATTTCTCTTTAGACCTTTTTTAAGAGCTTAAAAAAACAAATAATTTAGTATATAAAAGTATTTTTGTTCGATTATTAGTAACGGAGAAAATTAAAAAAATTGTAAATTTAAAATTCCCATGTTATTCTTATGAAGAATATTGTCAAATGTTGTAGTTTGCTTGTTTATGGATATATTTTGATCAAACTTGGCAAATTTATTTATTTTGTACTAAGCTATCAATATTTTACTCAAAAACACACTTTATTAGTTTCCTTGTAGCAGCAAACCTAGGTACTCGTTAAACCTAATGTTATTAAAATATATTTAACTGAAAATCAATTCAGACAAATGGAAATTCGCTTAGTCGGCAGGTTTGCTGCGGCGGGGGTATTCTGATAAACTGTCGGTTTTATTGCTTTTATTATGTTCTTTTTCGATTCTGCATCCTAAGAAACATAGAAAATGACACCCCACTTGCTTGGATCCCATAAATAAAAATTTTCTCAAAATCACTACCCCCATAAACTTAAAACCCCTTAAAATGGTACTTCCACCCCCACAATCACTAGGGACTCTTCAGATTCCAATACCTAATGGTAATTACTACGTTTCCTGCAAGTTTCATGAATGGACTAATTTTTATGTTTTCTTAGGTGAGTTTTACCTGTACTAAGTATGTATTATCTATCCTAGGTTAATGAATATGTTAAACTTTTTAACTATGAAAAATACACTTTTTTATATTTGGTCACTGTTTTTATTTGTTATTTTGACAGAGTTTTTTTACTGTGTATATTTAGTACACAATAATTAATTTATCAAAAAAAAATCCTTCCTTTCTCAAAACAACAAAAATTGACCTTCACGATATTGCATCAAACCATTAACCAGCTGATAATTCGCAACAACAGTCTCACTAGTACCCAGCTTTATTTATGGCTGTGAAGATATAAACAAATGAATAAATAAATCACCAGAGGAGTTTTTGTCTGTTCCAGGCCTATTGCAATCAACCACTTTTCGTGACATTCCTTACAAAGACAGATGCCCATTGTTTGATTGACAACATTTGCTTCACATACTTCCCACTGCCCGATGATCCATTTACATACAATATCTACAGTTCTACAGTATTGTAAGTAAAGCAATACTCTTACTTCACATGACATTTTAGTGTGGTCGAACGATTGTGTGTTTGTGTGGCGTGACCTATGAAACGTGAATTTGTAGTAGAGAGCATTGAAGTAATTATTAAACTTTTGAAAGTTAAATACAGTTACCTCTATGCCTGAAAATATTTTAAAAGCCGGTGACCGAGGATTGTTCAGGTAATATGTATTAAAGCATTAGTATCAATAATTTTATGAGTATTTGTGCTCACAGTGCCTGCTCACAAAATGTTTGGATGGATCCCATACAATAATTATTTGTGTAACTAGTGGGGGAAGTGGCACAAAGACAATTTGCACTCGCGTTACACATTATATTTTTCCTACAGTTATTATAAAGCATAGAAATAGTTCAATAATATTTCAAACACTAAACAAAACGTTTTAGGTTAGGTTTTAAATCCAAGCGTTGAACGAAATGGGAAACACTGCAACTGCTGATCGTAGTCGTAGTATCTTTAAGTGTTGCCAACCTATTTCCAAGTGTACTCGGATTACGTGCATAATAAAAGCACGCTGTTTTGTGTTGTTTGGTTGGAATACTGGTGTGCGGCAAAAAAAAAAAAAAAAAAACAGTGCCGCAAAAGTAAGTAAATGCAGCAGTTAGCAACTTTCAGTACTATAATCAGTGCAAGGAAGCCCGCTTTGTCAGGTGACTGTAGGAAAAATACTTTCTGTTTTAACACTTTCAAATAGTAATAAAGATATTACCCAATTAATGATACAAGGCTTGTTGAAAACTAAACTAAGTAGTTTTTCATGTTTACTAAAATGTCACAAATATTTCCTTAACCATTTTATTTTGGAACATTTTAACGAATTACCCATATGGGGAGAAAGCTAATACTGTAGGTATCATGGCGAGACCTAGACCCGGGACCACTTTCTTTTTCGTTTTGATTTCTCCAGAGGCCAAAAAACCCCATCCGTTCAAATGCATTCCGTAACCAAGGAAACTTGAGTAAAAATCATTCGATTTTGATTAAATTTAGTACAAACCTTGTGATTAGAAAATTCTATATTAAACCTAACAAATTAAATCAATGAATCTTCCATATACAAGGTTCTCCAGAAAACTTCCACACCTGACCATTTACCTATGGTATGACTTAATAGCTTAAAGACATTTTCTTAGATGCGTAGTACAGAAATACATGTTTACACGGTTTAATAATAATCTCATTCTCAAAAACAGTTCTACATCAAGTGCTTCATCTGGGCTCCATATGTCTATGAAAACCAACTTGTTATCCCTCCAGGAAATATTGGATTTTAACAATCCATGATTTCTTTTGAGATATTTTTATAAAATTGATTTGAAGACTCTAAGTAGGTCTAAACGGAACCTTAAGGCCTAGCTTATTTTCTGCTGACCAAGTCCAAGTTGCTTCGGCTACTCAATATGTGTAAGAAGTTTTAGTATCATGTGCATATAAGATTAAAGTATAGGCCTACTAAGTAGATTGTTGGCAATTGAGAGGACTATCATGTTTTATGTTTATAGGGTAAAAATGGAAAATGCCTATTTATACCCCAATAAAAAGGCCTAGGTTAACACGATTCTACCAAATTGAATTAAAATCAGATAATTTTCACTAGAGTCAACTAGTGTACACGAGACTTTGCGCTAGTGTTATACATTAAATTTTTCCTACAGTTACTATAAAGAATAAATAATGGGTAATTGTATGTATATACAGGTGAGCTTTTACGATGCGTTTTCACAAATAACCAAATTCAAACCTAAATGAAATTATTTCACAAATTAATTGTGGAATTTCATTCAGATTAGCAAATAAAAATCTGAATGAAGTTTCACAAACATAATTAATCAATATGTAAATTGTTGGTTTGTAATGTTTATGTTAACACGCAACAACAGGTTTATAGGTTAAGTAAAGTCGTTGTATCAATGGTCAAATCATATGACAAATAAACACTGCACCAGCTGATCGACTTATTAGGCTACGGCCACACGGGCGTTTTTTCACGCAAGAACGCAGCGTGAAAAAACGCGAGAAATATGGGCAGCATTAAATGTAATGAGGTATGCCACACGGAGTGTGTTTTCACGCAGATTAGGCGCGTCTTCAAAATCGACCGCCGCGGGCCCGCAGAAGAATGGCCTGGGGTGCATTTTTGAAGCTTGTTTTCACGCTCTATCCCTGGCCACACGGGTGGGAGCAACACGCAGCTTTGATCAAGTCGTCGTAGCAAGTTAAAATAAATATAAATGTATCTAATTTTGTCCAGGATAGCGTAAAATATTTTTGGGTCTAGCCAATTACACAGTAGACCTACACGTTTTATCTTAAACATAGGTCGACCTTACTGGAACACTTAATATTTTGTTACTAAAAGGAAAGGCATTTAGTTGGACTAAAAAATGTAAAGAGGCATTTATGTAGTAGAATATTCAAAGATCTGATGAAAATCTTGTCATAAAATATTTATATTATATTTATTCAAAATAAAATAGTTTTAGTGTTGTTTTCGTATCGAAATTAATATATTATTATATTTATTTTTATACTAAATGTAAATGATTAAATGAAAGGTTAACAAAATAAAATAATTTTATTGTTGTTTTCGTATCGAACTTAATATATTATATTAATTTTTTATACTAAATGTAAATAATTAAATGAAAGGTTAACAAAATAAAATAATTTTAGTATTGTTTTTGTATCGAATTCAATATACCATTCATATTTCGTGTTAACTAGTCAGAAACAAGGTTACTATTCCGGCCATGAGGAAGGTATTTTGCCGCTCCTGGATTTCAACCGGCGTGAGAATAAGCTACATTTTACTGCGTGAAAAAAACGCACGTGTGGCATACAACAGCGGGAATTCAAGCAGCGTGAAAATAAGCTACATTTTACCGCGTGAAAAAACGCCCGTGTGGCCGTAGCCTTAGAGTTTTGCCTACATGTTTTCAAGCATATTCGTATTGAATTTTTTGAATTTTTTTTTAATTTGAAAAATTCTTTATTGTTCTTTTCAAATACAACAGGTACAATACAATACATATTTATACACTAAGGTTGTACATAAGTATTACATGTTGATTGTATTTATTCAAATATAAACTAAAAACACAATACTCTTCACAACATAAATCTAACTAATTATTTTATTCAATAACGAACAATAAAGCCCTGAGGTTACAGAACCTGTGTGGGAAACAAACATTTTTGGTAGTTGGAGCAACTCGTGGTTGTAAAGTCCATCCCGTCACCATTACCACAGTATTTTTATTACAAAATTAAAGCAATATATAAAACTAGGCTTCAAAAACTAGCTTTAACACAGCAACCTATCACAACAAAACCTTATCTACCTATCTATTTGAAAACTGACCCTATACTGTCAATCTTCGTGATTACAGTACTATTTTGGAGTGTTCTGAACTTACAGCTTATTTGAAAATATCGAGCATCCCTGACTTAATAAGTGCAAGATTATTAAAAATAACTATGATCTATTGTTAGACCAATGAGGTAAAAAATGTGTTTATACTATCTATTTCGAGCAAGTAGTTTCGTGTTAATTTGCTGAATACATTGACGTTTTCCCTTGCTTTGATGGGCTCGGGAAGAAGGTTATAAAATGTGGGAGCCAAATATAAGAAGAATTTTTTAAATATGGTTAGTCTAGGTTTAGGTACATAGATGTTGTTTTTACTTCTTAGTCTAGTATGTCTTGGATTTGTTCTATCAGTACCACATCTATTGAAATATATTTTCAGAACTTTGTAAACATATAAATTCCTGATAGGTAATATTTCTATAATTTTGAAAAGTGGGGATGAAGGTTCAGTTTTGGTTTTATTTAGCATTATCCTGATGAAAGATTTTTGTAAAGTAATGATTGGTTTTAGGCTGGTAAAATATGTTCCACCCCATATTTCTATTCCATAATCTATTTTAGAGTTGATAAATGCGAAATAAATTGTTATCATCAGTTGAGTATAGCAAACGGACCTAAGGATATAAAATATTCGTATGCACTTGACTAATTTAGTTTTTAAGTAATTTAGGTGCTCTTTCCAGCTAAGTTTGCTGTCAAGCCATATCCCTAGATATTTTATACTATCCACTTGCTCTAGATTTGGACATGTGCAATGATTTTGGGCAAGGGAGCAAGTTACTTCATGATATTTTAGGCCGGTACAAAAGGACAATTGTTTGGTCATATTAAAAATAATATACTTTTTTTGGGCTCATAACCATAAGATTATTTGAAAACCAATATCTAAGCATATTAATGTCATGTTGCATTTGATCCTTGAGGTCTTGAATGGAATTCGCCTCATAGGATAATGCAGTATCATCAGCAAAAGCCACCAACTTGCCTTTAAAATTGCCATTGCACAAGTCATTGACATATATAAGGAAAAGTGGACCAGACAACACTGACCCTTGGGGTATACCAAACTCAATTTTACCCTCTTCACTCACTGTATTGTTTACTTTTGTGACTTGCCTTCTACCCTCTAAATATGATCGAAACCACACCAGCGGAACCCCACGAATTCCTGCATTATACATCCTACACAATAATATGCCGTGGTCTAGTGTGCAAACGCTTTCATTACGTCTACAAAAATACCGGCACTAAGTTTACCATCATTAATGGTTGTGTATACTTCAGACATAAAGTTTATTAGAGCAGAGCTTGTATTTAATTTACTTTGAAAGCCAAATTGATTTTTGCTAAAAAATCTATGCTTATTTAGAAAGTTAACCAATCGCACCTTAACAATCTTCTCTAGAATTTTTGAAAAAAATAGATAAAAGAGCTATTGGTCTATAATTGTTTGGGTCATGTTTGTCATTTTTCTTGAATAATGGTATTATTACAGTTTTTTTCAATTTTGATGGGAATTCACCACTTGATAAACTTAAATTAAAAATATATACTAGTATGTTTGCAATGGAGACAGATATTTCTTTTATTACAA